GACCTGTCCCCGTAGCGTAGACCTGCCCATTGGCTCTGATTCAGAAAGTCCTTAAGCACATGTTTAGGTATGTCTCCCTTTGACTTCAGTGGGGCTTAAGCACATGTTTAAAGTTAAACATGTATTTAGGTGCTCCTTTGAAGAGAGATGCATTCCTGAATAGAGGCCTTATGTGCATAAAAAAGCCATGTCGGTTATTAAATGATGGTTTGCTCCCCTGTGCCTATAATAAAATACTTTGAAATTGATTTTTCAGTGTAAGATGTAAGAGGGTGATTTAAATATTGTTTATAATTACTGAATAAAAGGGAAAAGTTCACACTGCAATAATGGATTCATGAGCAATAACCAGGACTTGTTTTAATGTCCAAAAACATTGACAGATATTTGTTCAATTAAATTTTGTGATTTTGCTTCAATCAGATCCACAGCCCAACTCATCTGTTTTTTGAGAGACATTTGTGTGCGTGATATTATATTCAAAACTGTGTTTGTTGGAAGGGAGAATGTCATGAATGCTCAGTCAGATATAACATTTCTGGTGAGTACTCACACCAAAAGTCCCCCACACAACTCTTTAGGAGTTTAGGAGTCACACAATTAAAGACCAGGTAGTTTAGGTGACCAAACATATACAGACACATTTTCAAGGATAGTCATTGATTGTGAATGCCACGGTCATTGGGATCTCAATGTAAAAGACCTTGGACCTTATTTTCCTAAGTGCTGAGTACTTACAGCTCCCGTTCACTTCAGCTGGAGTGGTGGAGTTTCTGGAAATCAGGACCGAGGGGACTGAAGTTGGGCACCCATAAACAGAGGCTACCAAAATCATTGGCCATTGCTGAATCTTTAGGGCACGGCAAATTACAACAGTGAATTGCCGAAGCACCAGTCACCTCACAGTACATCTACACTGAAATGTAAGCCCAGGGTAAGCCCAGGGTTTGAACTCATGCTCAAGTTAAGCTCCCTTCCATCTACACACAAATTGCACTAACCCTTTACTGGTTTGTAGTGTAAACGCAGGCCCACTGGACTCCTCTTTGGGAGTCAGCCAAAAGTATCCGAAAGGCTGAGTTTCTTTGTCCTCTGGACGGTCAAGTGTTCCCACACTGCACCGTGAACAAACAGCTAAAGTGGTCACATTTTGGGAGCCTGCTAGGAACTCTGGGATATGGGTGGTTGAAATGGGGCCCACATAATGCCATGTAGATGCTGGAGCCCCAGTTTGGGAACCAGGGTGCAACAATCCCTAACCTGGGTTTACAAATGAGTGTAGTTTCTCAAACCCTAAGTTAACAAACCTGGGTCTGCTGACGCGCGTTCTACTAGCCCAGGGATTACACTGCAGTGTAGACGTGTCCTCAGAGAGTTAGTGAATCACTGTGATGTGTGTGTGCATTGTTCAGCACAATGGGGCTCTGGTCTCAATTTGCACTTCCAGTCGCTACTGTAAAAGTAATAATAATATTGAACTATGGGCAAGTTTCAACCACATGCCAGGCTCCTGCGAGGATCCTTTTATTCTATATATATGACCCAGCAGTGCTCCCTCAGGAATGGTGAGATTGAAAAGATCTGAGGAATCACAGCCTAACCCCTAGGCCCGCTGCCTTTCAGACCCACGATGCCCAGTCAAACCTTTCCCCTCTTTTCATGCAATTTGCTCCCTTCTGCCTGCGGCTGCTGCCACCCCCTTTCTGCCCTCACCCAAACACAGCGGAGTTTTTATCTCGCTCCCCTGCCCCCAACACAGCTCAGACCCAGGGCAGGGGGAAAAGCAATTCTAAAGGCTGGGGAGCCTGCGGCGTGGCCTACAGAAGCAGTGGCGTCCTAGAGCTGAGAACTGTGCAGGCAGAGGAAGGGAGCAAAAACTAGAGCCACACCCAGCTACCAGCATCAGCCGTCTTAACAGAAACCATCACCCAGCCCATCACCTAAGAACAGAAGACTAGTCATACTGGGTCAGACCAATGGTCCATCTAGCCCAGTGTCCTGTCTTCCACAATGGCCAATGCCAGGTGTTTCAGAGAGAATGAACAGAACAGGGCAATTATCAAGTGTTCCACCCCCTGTCATCCACTCCCAGCTTCTGGCAGTCAGAAATTTGGGACATTCATAACATGGGGTTGTGTCCCTGACCATCTTGACTAATAGCCATTGATGGACCGATCATCCAGGAACTTATGTAATTATTTTTTGAACCCAGTTATACTTTTGGCCTTCACAACGTCCCCCTGGTAACCACTGTCCTCTGCACAGCTCTACTGCTGACAGTTGAAATTCTTCTTTAGCACAGCAAGTATTGGCTTGTGTTTTAGGAACTGAGTTCCAGACCCGAGTTTGTTGTATAGTTTTGTTGAAGTCACTTGAAGTCAATGGAGCTACGCAAAGGACAGCAAATGAGGATCTGGCCCTGAAAATAATGAGGTCTACTGATACATCTTATTTTTATTAGTTGGTTTATCCAAGGGAAGGTCAAGAAGTGACTTCAACATGCTGTATACGCACCTGTGTGGGACAAAATTTCCAATAGGGTAAAGATCTTTAATTCTGCAGACAGAGGCATAAGATTCAGTGGCTGGAAGCTAAATAAACTCAGTCAAGATGAGGTGCACCTTTTTCTTAGTGAGGGTAATTAATTATTGGAACAAATTACCTATTACTGTGGCAGATGTTTCATCACGTAACGTCTTAAAATCAGGGCAATATATTTTTCTAAATCATATGCTATCGCTTGAGCAGAATTCATGGACTCAATGGACAAATTACTGGGTGAGGGTCTTGTGCCTGTGTTATGAAGGAAGTTCAAATAGTGTGACAAAGTTCCTCCTCTATCTTGGTGGGTCCTGTGCTTATTGGCGGATTTTCTTGCCTCAGAGATTCACCATGTGGGTTGGGGAACAGCCCAGAGACCTTCCCCTCTGGAAGAACCCACAGTCTAGCTCAATTGGGAGGTTTGGGGGGAACCCGGGCCCGCCCTCTACTCCGGGTTCCAGCCCAGGGCCCTGTGGATTGCAGCTGTCTATAGTGCCTCCTGTAACAGCTGTATGACAGCTACAACTCCCTGGGCTACTTCCCCATGGCCTCCTCCAAACACCTTCCTTATTCTCACCACAGGACCTTCCTCCTGGTGTCTGATAACGCTTGTGCTCCTCAGTCCTCCAGCAGCACACCCTCTCACTCTCAGCTGTGCTGAACTCAATGACACCTTTTCCAATGACTTCAGATCAAGGCACAGAATTTGATGCACTACTTAACACTTGTAGTTTATTAAACTGCTCCCTGTAGGAATGTGATACTAGTAGCAGTTACTGATACATAATAGATTGTAAGAAACTGCTATTGGATGAAACTGCTACCTGATGTAGGAAATGCTTACAGGTACTGTAGCAGTTTCTTGCACTGTAGTATGTGTGAAACTGCTTTTTGTGTAGAAATGTGGTCTATGTAGCAGTTATTGATATGTATAGATTGTAAAAAACTGCTACTTGATGTAGCAACCTAACCCTCCCTTGCTGCAATTTAAGCCCATTGCTTCTTGTCCTATACCAGCAAACTTCCCCTCCTCCCAAGCCAGGAGCAGCGGGGAGGCTAAAGCCAGGAGCCCCAACCAGGGCCGGCTCCAGCTGTTTTGCCGCCCCAAGAGCTGAAGAAAAAAAAAAAGATAAAGCTGCGATCGGTGGCACTTCGGCGGCAGCTCTACCACACCGCTTCATTCTTCGGCGGCCTGTCCTTCCCTCCGAGAGGGGCTGAAGACCTGGACGTGCCGCCCCTTTCCATTGGCCACCCCAAGCACCTGCTTTCTGCGCTGGTGCCTGGAGCCGGCCCTGGCCCCAACGCCTCGCCCCCTGAAGCTGGGAGTTGCATTGGGAGCCCCCTGCCACTATACAGTCCCTAGCTACCTCCTCCCTGCGCCCTGAGCTACCCCCTGCTTGCACACAGCCCCTAGCTACCCCCTTGCCCGCACCCTGAGCCGTTTTCAAACTTTTTGAACTGAGTCCCCCCTTTGAGTTATATGTTTTGGTTGCATCCCTCCAGAGCCCCGACAGGCTGGGTGCCCTCCTGAGTGAGTCAGAGGGTGGAGGTGGCGCACCCTCCCTGACTCTGCTGTGCGGAGCTGGGTTGAGCCCTGCCAGGCCTTGCCCCTTCCCCCTCCAAAAAATAGAAGTAAAACTATGCCCATGCCCAAGTGTGTCTCCCCGGCCTGGAGCCCCGCACTCCCCCACCCCCCGAGGCCCTGTTGTTTTTATAGGATGTTGAACGGGGCCTCAGCAAGAAAAAGGTTGAGAACTCCTGGATTAGATGATCTCTCAAGGTCCCTTCCATTCCTATGGGTCTATGTGGAAAGAAACAATTGAAAATGGGTGACATGGACATGGGCAAATCCACTAAGCAGCTTTGCTGGCAGATAGAGTACGGCAACTGCATGGCATGTGGCAATGAACAGAAGAGATTCCCCCATGGGACAGTAGAAGGAGCCACTGCCCAATCCAGCCACACTCACAGCCCCACGGTCGAGAAGGGACACAGAGAAGGAGTGTCATGGGTTGGCGTCGCTGCAAAGAGTTTGGGCCATAAATGTCATTATTGGGGATTTCCAACCCTACATATTTCAATCTAATTTCCCCTGTAACTGTGGAAAATCCATTCTTTGGGTTGGGGTTTAGCTGCTTCACCTGGGGGTTGCTCCAGTGACTGCAGTGCTGGCCCTGCCTCTCCCACCACAGCAATTACTAACTTGTGCCCCATTGGGTCTCCACCCCCCAGTGACAGCTCAGGGCTCCAGGAAATTTTCTCTCTGTTTAAAATGTGAATATATGCAACACACAGACTAGTACATACAAAATGAGCATGGTTAATAAATGGATTGGTTTAGCTGATTGTATATGTTACATGCTGGATAAAAGAAAGCCAGAGAGTCAAATATTGGTTGCTGTTTCTTTGCTGCATCTCAGTGAGGTCTTTGTGGTACGAGGATATCCCACAATTCACTGAAACAGCTGTCCAGGCGATACTGGTGTTTCAAAAGCACATTTTCTTTGTTCTTTCATATTTTTGTTCCATTTTCTTTCATGTTCATCTTGGAGCTTTTCTGCTTCACTTGAATGGAGACAGAAGCTGAGACGGCATCTGCAGTACTGTCAAATAGCTTGAAAATTCCCAGTGCAGGAGCCAGTCAGAGCACAGAGGTTGTAGCAGCCATTCAGAATAAAGAGATTTTGCATATTCATTATATGGTAAAGAAATAACCATTCAGTGATCATGTA